TGAAAAGTTTCAACTGAAAGCTGAAGAGGCACCTGTCCCGGAGGTCCTCCCTGGCACCCATTCTCCGCCGTGCTCCCCACCCTCACCCATCCCCCGCTGCTCATTTCCTTCTCTATACTTACCTCTTTGCAGGTGGAACTCAGGTAGTTGGAGGTCGAAGTCATAGTACCCTGGCTGGCATCCTGCTGTGTTAGTTCCGCTGTGCAGGAGTGGAGGGACTCTGTCTTGTCCTGTTGCTCAGGGTCTTCACAGGAGGCTTCCACGTGGGAGTCCTGCTTAGCCTCAGGATTGAGCGTGGGTGCTGGGCATGGCTCAGCTTTGGTCTCTGGTTCTACCTCCATCTCCAGTTCTGGGGCTACATCCAGGTCCACTATTTGTGGAGTCTCCAGCTCTAGCAATTCATTCTCCAGCTGAAAAGTTTCAACTGAAAGCTAAGGAGGCCCCTACGCCTGAGGTCTTCCCTCGCATCAATTTCCTGCCATACTTACCCCCGACCCCAAACACTGCTAACTTCCTTCACTACACTTATCTCTTTGCAGAGACCTGCCTGGGGCAGGGAGGCCTTGTGGGCAGGTGGTGAGGGTGGGTGTGCCTGAGTGTGCCAACACTGGCCTGGTACTAGGGTCCCAGAATTGTCAAGGGCAGGGGCTGGTCAGAATTTAGGGAAGATGGGTCTCAAGGAACCCTGTCCCTTGCCTACCACCTCCCCATAAGAGGTGACCCAGTTCACCATTACGTCCGATTCATCTTCCTCTTGTGCCTGCTCATGTTGGTTTACGTCATCCCTAAGACAGAAGGAGACAGAGGGTGACAGGGCTCCATGGGGTGAGGTGGGATGGCTTTAGCAGAAAGGGAGTTTCTGGGACTAGCAAGATGCTCCCAGCTCATCCACTCCTCTGGCTGTCCCCACTCCCACTAAGAATTCTGGAGGTGTATTCTCAAACTCCAGCGTGTTTAGGAAGTGCCTGGAGAGCTTCCTCAGTTGCCTCCCCACCTGCAAGGAGGGATCCAGTTGGTTGGAGGTGAGCCCCAGGAATCTTTGTTGTAATTAAGCATTTTGTTAGCTGGTGCAGCTCACTTGGAGGACCAGTGCCCAGAAAGTGACTCCTCACAAAAGGAAAAGCATAGAACATCACCCCACTCCTACCCCCTGCCACCAACCTGCCCAGTCCCGGCTTGCCAGATGTGAAAAGCAGAGGTGTATGTGTTTGTGCGTGTGTGTGGAGGGTTCGTCAGTTTTTGTCTGCAATGTGCTGCCATCTTGGTTTTTGCTTTCAAGGCTCAGCCATGTGACCACTTCTCCTCTTTAGGCACCTGCCCACCCCAGCTCCGATAGCTCTGTCCTTAGACCACAGTGGCTCTAAGGAATCAGGTCCCATCCACGTCCCTGGGTGTTCTCCACCACTCCTTAATCTTCCTCCAACATCAGCGACTGGAGGCAGAAGCAGAAGGGGGAAATGACACCTCCCGCCAATGGCCTGTTGGCCTGGATACTGCCTTTGGGAAGATTTTGGAAACGAACAAGATAGAAGGAGATCCTGGGTTAGGAGGGTGAGTGAAAACGTGGCAGTGGTGGCTGAGGGTAAGTGTTGGTGGTCCTGGAAGGTGGAGGAGAGGTCCTATGATGGTGGGGAACTGGTTCTCACTGTGTCTCCATAATGTCCACCGACTCCTTGCTACAGCAGGGAAGTCCATTGGCACCTGGCAGAAAGAAGGTGAGAGCAAGGGAGCTGCAGGTGGGGACAGTGCCTGAGGGATCCTAAAGCCAGTGGTGCTGTTCCAGGAACCCCCTCCCGCCCTCCCTGTCCTCACCTCAGCCCATTTTCCAACCCCTCTCCCATCCTGCCCTTCCTCTCCTCATTCTCTCTTGCCAGTGTCACCAGCTGGATCTTCTGCGTCTGCTCACCTCCACTCTCCATGCTGGCCCATCACCACCCTTTGTGAGGGTGAATGCTAACAAGCATTCATTTCCATTTATTGAAAGCTACTAGCCCAGGCATTGTGTTGAGCACTTTCTGTGCTTCATCTCATTGATACAACACAAAAAATGAGGACGTTCATTCGCCTCAGCTGATCCTTCAGGAAGTCAGTACTTGAATGCGAATTTGACTCAGAAAACTTAACTGCTCTGCTCCACATGCTGTCTGTCCTACCCAGGAGCCTGTAACTGTGTGGGGTCTCCCATCACGCGTAGACGAACTTTCATCACCCTCCATTCCTGCCCCTCTGTCCCCTTTCTTCCACTCTCTCTGGGCAGGCTTCAGATCTGCTGCTCACCCGAATCCTGGCCCCTTCTACACTGAAGTCTGTTTTTTCTTCCTCTGGCTTCTCACTCCATCACACCCCGAGGTCATCTATCCCCAAATCCAGGCCAGGGTTCTCACCCCAGGTGCTTGTTCTGAGGTGATGCCGACATGGATTTGGTGATTTATGAGCTCTGATCAACCTCTGCAGAGGAGACTGACTCCTTCGGGGAGGTCTCATCATCCCAGGCCCCTTCTTAAAGGCTTGTATCTTTTTCCAAAGAAGCTGCTTTTTCTTACTCTGGGGATAGGGATTCCCAGGCTGTCCCATTCTCTGCTCCCCAGGATAGTAGATAGGGGTTGATGGTGGGGTTATCATGGCAATGGGCAAGCTAGGTCCCCAGGAGCTTGGAGTGTGGCAGCCTTGGCTCTGGTGAGAAGAATTGCTCCCAAGATTATATCAGGATGGGAATGTGCTGTGGCCTCTTCCTAGAGATGTAGAGGCTGGGAACGGTCCTTGCATGGCTGGTCCTGAGACTGGGATTTGGATACATCTGTTCAGCCCAGGGATCTTGGCTCCGCTGGGTGGCTGGGCTAGGAGTGTGTGTGCCACCAAGGACAGGCTCCCAGGGGCAGCTCGGTGGTCTCTTCAGAACCCTCTACATCCTCGACTAATGCTCTCTTGGCTTCCTCTCCATGTCTCTTGTCATCTCCAACTCCACCTGCCCAAGTGCTGCTGCTCCCCAGGCCTCTGACCTCACAGCCTTCCCTTGCTTGTCGAGAAAGTTTCCCTGGCAATTGAATTGACACCACAGCCTGAACCTTTCCATAAACAGCAACTGGGTGTGGATAGGAGGAACGATTATGGTGTGAACCTTACAGCAGCACTGGGGATTGGAAGCTAAAGTACGAGGTTGACTCAACTTGGGGCCTCAGTGCCCAATGTGGGAATGTTCTATCAGGGATTCAAGTGATGCTCTGTAGCATGTGAAATATTTCCAATTTCCAATTGCTGGTTGCTAATATATGGAAATGTATTGATCTTGTATTCTGACACTGTCCTGAAATCCTATTAGTTCTAGTTTTATTTGTCTATAGATTCCATAAGATTTTCTACATAAACAATAATGTGTGTGACTCAAGACAGTATCACTTCTTCCTTCCCAATCTGGACATCTTATTTCCTTTTCTTGCCTTATAGCACTGAGAACAATCTCTAGTATGTTGCTGAATAGAGTGGAGAGTGGACATTCTTGCTTTGTTCCTGAGAGCAGGGGGAAAGCATTCGGAATTTCACCATTAAGTTTGGTGTTAGCTGTGGTTTTTCTCATAGGTGCCTTTTATCGGGTTGATGGTGTTCCTTTCTATCCTCAGTTTACTTATTTTTTAGTTAGGAAGGGATGTTGGATATTGTCTGATGCTTTTTCTGCTTTATTGAGATGATCATATAATTTTTCTTTTATATTTTGTTAATATATATGTTCTACATTACATATATGTTAAGAAATGAATAATATTTTATGTTATTCGGTTAATAATGTATATGGTAAAATACATTGATTTTTTAAATGTTATATCAATTTTACGGTTCTGGGATAAACTTCGTTTGGTCATGATGTATTATCTTTTTATATATTTTTTAAATTTGATTTGCTAACTTTTTTCCTGTTTTGGAATTTTCACATGTATGTTCATGGAATGTACTGGTGTGTAATTTTCTTTTCTTGTAATGTCTTTGTCAGATTTTGATTTAAGAGTAATGCTGGCTTCATAAATGAGTAGAGAAGTATTCCCTCTTCAATTTTCTAAGTTTGCGTAAAATTGGTATTATTTCTTCTAAGTAGAATTCACAAGTGAAGCTTGTGAACCTAGGCCTGGAGTTTCCTTGGAGAAGATTAAGTACAGATTCAACTTTAGAAAATAGGTAGAGGACTATTCAGCCTATCTATTTCTTTTTTATTGTGGTAAAATATATATAACATAATTAAGTATATCGACATCGGCATTAAGAACATTCTTTCGCATTGTTGTGCAGCCATCACCACCAGCACCTCCAGAAAATATCTATTTCTTCTTGAGTGAGCTTTTAGAGTTTGCATTTTTTAAGGAACTTGTTCATTTTATCTAAGTTGTCAAATTTATTGGCATAAGTTGTTCATAATAGTTCCTTATCGTTTTCATATCTGTAGAATCTGTAGTGATGTTACCGCTTTCATTCCTCATTGGTAATCTTTATGATCTTTCTTTTTTTTTCCGGTTTGGTTTGGCTAGAAATTTATCAGTTTTGTTGATCATCTTGAACCAGCCAAAGAGAGATATGGCTGATTCCTACCTGATCTCCCTAAGTGACATCTGCCAGGCAGTAAGTCTGTAGTCACAGGTTCCCGATCAGCTTTTAATGATTGCACTCTTAAACGTGCACAACCAAGCATCACCAGACATTTGAAGAAACTGCCAACATGCAAGTGACAGACCAAGAGAAAAGATGACTCTAGAGTACCAGAAGTAATTTGGGAAACAGAAGGGAGCTTAAAGAAAATTCTAATCATCTTCAGAGATTCAGAGATGGAGATACTCAATGATTTATATTGCATCCAAAAAGCAAGAACAGGATGCTATCAAAAAAGAATTAGAGAAAGAAAGAGCTTTTTGGTAAGTAGAATTGAAAAATAAAACACAGAGAAATTTCCCAGAAAGTGGAACCCAAATATCAAAACAATGTGGAAGAAAAGAATCAATGGGAGGTCCAGGTCTAAGTTATAGAAAGGAAATCTAGACAGAATAGAGAACATGGAGAAGAAGAAAAGGGAAATAGAAATTTCCCTGAGCTTAAGGACATCATTGGCTTAAAAGGGTTCACCGAATGCCTAGCATTACAAATGTCAAAAGATCCCTGCTGTGAAAATTCATTGCACCAGGAGCAAAGAATTTCTAAATGCTTCTAAAGTGGAAAAACTAGTCACCTACAAGGGGAGGAGAATCATACTGGCATTATCGTTAGCCACAATGGTTGCCTTTAAAATTCTGAGGAAAATGATTTTTAATCCAGAATTTTATATTGAGCCAAACTATCATTTCAGATATGGAAAGACTCAGAAAATTTGACTCCTCTTTTTTGGGGAAGTCATTTAAGGATGTGCTAAAGCAAAATTAAGGAGTACAACAAGAGGACCAGGAAGGAAATAGTGTGTCCAGTCCAGGTAAACAGCTGAGTCCCAGGATGTTAACTGTTTAGAGACCTATGACCACTACACATAGTTGTCAGAAGATGGGCCCTGGGCAGCAGATCTCTGAAATAAAACAAACAAACAAACAAATAAGAAACAAAACTGATAGAATAGCTGGCTAGATGTCAAGGTTGAAGCAAACTAAGACTATGATAAAACCAAAGAGCATAAAGAAAGGGCAACTAGAAACCCCAGGAAAAACAAAAAGCTACATGAGAAAGAAAAGGTAATTGTGGCAACTCTTGGCTCTGCAGGGAATGGCAATTATGTAGTCACAATAATGTAAATCCTGTTTACACATAGACAAAATTTGGAAGACATAATTGTGGTTATGGGACAATGTAAATGTTACCACCCTTGATATTAAAAAAAAAAACAAACCAAAAATTCAGGTTAGAGTCTTTGGAGGTGAAAGGCAGGAGAGAAAGCTGAAGTGGGGAAAGGTAAGGGCACTCAAAGCTTCATCTTACTGTGTGGGGTGTCAAAAGACACTGTCTAAAGTTGATGAAAAGATAAAGACATAAGTACATTAAGCTTACAAAGGTATTGGCAGAGCTAAGAACAATGTTGGGAGGATAGGGGAGGGGAGGGCTATTAGAGCAGGAAGGTGGTAATGTCTAGAACTGAGAAACCAAGAAAGAGCCTGTAAGCTCGTAGAGCAATAAGAAGGTAGGAAGGCAGAGAAACAGTTGAATTGAAACAACTGTGGTCGCTCTGAGGAGTGAGACTGGGGGCGTGGTGTGGGGATTCTTGCTTTTCATCACCGAATAAGCTCTTCAGCGCTATTTGACCACATGCATATATTTCTTTGATAAAGTTAAAAGAAAAGGTCCATCCCCAGCTACAGGCCAGGCACTGTGCTAGAGGCTGAGGACAAAGTAATAATAGACAGTCCCTGCCCCGGAGCTTTCAAGCCTGTGGCCATGACCACTGGAGACTCTCCAATCTCGATTTCTCTTATCCGTCTAGACTCAAACTACAGTCACCGATTACACATTTTCCCTAAGGGCCCTCAACTTCACCTTTTCCAAAACATTATGGATCCCTTGTCAGAGCCTGAGCTGTCTCTTCTCTCTGGAATTCCCTTGTTTCCTATTGTGGTGATGCTCAGGGTTCATTTCTCCTGGAGACTTTCCAGACTCTACCTCATGGCCCTGGGCTAAGGGCTGCTCCTCCAATCACCCCGCCCCGCCCCGTAGACCTTGATCTCAGAGCATGGCCTCTTGCTGACCCTCAATTAGATTTGGGCAGAGTGTGTGGGTTGCTCGCTCGGCATCTCTGATCCTGCACAGAGTCTGGCACAAGGCGGATGCTCAGCAAATTTTTGTGCAAAGACATGAATTCTCTGTACCTCTCACCCTGCCAAACCCTGCAGTGTAGGGTTACCTCAGGTTCATATCCTGTGTATCCAGACCCTAGCGTGGCCAGTGCAGTTCTGCATGTCTGACTTGTCTTCCTTTCCAATCTCTCATCTCTCGATAACCCCCTCTCCCCTCTCCGATTTGTCCTTCATCCTATCACCCAATTAGAAACCTGGGTCATTTGCGAGCCCCCTTATTTCCACAGCTACTGACCTTCCTACCACTGATGCTGAACTTGTGCACATCTTTTTCTTTACCTTCACTGCCTCAGCTCCCAATGCCAGAGTCAGGACTTCCTGCCTGCTGACGCTCAGTGCTGAGTGCTTTGCACATTCAGTCCTTGTAAGTCACTCTATGCAAAGGCGGTCACGACACTCCTCTCATGGATGAGGAATCTTGCACAAGGTCACACAGCTGTAAGAGCAGTTCCAGGACCTGAATGCAGGTCTGACCGTCTCCAAACCCCATGATGCTAAGCCCTGTGCTGTCTGAAACTCCTACACCTCTAATTGCACCACTGCAACTACATTCTCCTCCAGCTTTGGCTTCTCAATGACCCTGGAGTGATCCTGCAGTATCACGCCTGCTTCCGATCACGCCCAAACTCTAGGGTGGTCCCAAAGATCTTGCCTGGTCTGACTTCTATTTTTACCTCTTGGTATCCAGCTCCCTGCCTTGCCCCAAGCCCAAGCCACCCTGGAGCACAGCAGGCCCTTTTGTGCCTCAGTGCCTTTGCACATGTGATTCTGATATCCAGAGTCTCTCTTTTGGCAAACTCCTACTCATGTCTGAAAGTCCAACTCAAATTTCCAGTGTTATCGTCTCTGTAACATACGTAGCTATCCAACCTACATTTTAACTTTTAGTCAACTCATCAGACTCAGGGCCTAGCACAAGAGTAAGCCCTGAAAGGGGTGCAACAAATGTTGCCGGAGGGATTTATGGTGTCTGCACAAATTCGTTGCCCAACAAAGTTGGGAAAGGTGAAAAGCTGCTCTCTGGTGGTTGGTTCTTTGCACATTTTTAATGCTGGCCCATGTCTTCCTGGGAAAGAAAGTCTCATGAAAAAAGCCACAATTTCAGTGGGGATTTGAGCGCCCATTATTAGAAACCTGGGAGACCCAGGGCCCCGAGTGGCAAACATCTCTTTGCTCGTCAGTACAGAGAAGAGGGCAGAGCACAAATAAGGCGCTCATGAAATATTTGTTGATGCAGATTGCTTTAAGCTTTCTGCAAAAGCTCCAAGCATCGACCAGGGACAACTACGTGATTTTGGCGGTTATCTGCAGTTAGGATAATTCATGAGTCGTTTCCTGGGCACAAAGCCACTGCTCTTTCCATATGCCCAGAAACCTGAGCAAGAACCCGATGAATCGGCGGCCTCAACCACAAGGTGTGCATGCGTGCCCGTGCACACGCACGCTTGTGCAAGGCGCGGAGTCGTGGCTGGGTGTGGGTCAGGGCAGCACCCGCCCCGCGCTCCCGCCAGGATGCCTAAGGCTTTGGCTGGGGTCGCCCTTTCTTTCTTTCAAGCTCCCAGGAGCTTGGGGAACGAGTAGGGGCCGCGGGCCAATTCCCTGCTCCTTCCGTGCCCCGCCCCCTCACTTTCACTTTTCCCACCGCGCCCCGCTCTCCCCGCCCCGCCCCCGCTCCGCCGCGTGCGCGCGCGCGCGTGCGCGCCCGTTCCCACCTGTCACTCCCATGCAGAACGCGGAGACTCTGTCCGGGAGGTAGGGAGCGGGCTGGTGGCTGCTGCCCCTCCGCCTCCAGTGTGCTCTTTGGTACGGGTGTGTGTGTGTGGGGGGCGGTGGAGATGCTGGGGACCCCGGCGGTTGTGATGTCGCGGCCTCTGTGACGTCCTTCCCGCGACTCTGGGGCGCGGGGAAGAGGGCTCAGGATTCCCGGCGCGTGGGTAGGTGCGGCCGTTGGGGGGGGCGACCTTCGGAAGAGGCCCCATCTCCCCCAGAAGCCAGAGCTCCTCTCTGGAGACCTCCGGCAGCTTTGCTCCTCCGCACCAGGCTCAGAGTGGTGAGGATGGCGTGAGAAAGCCCGGGGTCTGCTGGACTGGCCCTTGCACCTGCTCAGGGCATGCTGGCACAGGTCCGCTGCCTCTTCCGTGTGCCTAGGTTCCCCTCCAAGAACCCGCTGACCCTGCGGCCTTTACCCCACGGTGTACATGTGTGTCCGGCACACACACACACTTATGCACAGCTTCGGGGGGTGTGGAACCAGATGAGACAAGGCATCCTATGTGTACCTGTAGCACCCATGCTCAGACAGGCCCCGGTCCCATGCTAGGTATCCACTTTGAGAAAGTCATCTTTGACCAGGAGGTGGCTGGAAGGGCTGGGAGTCCAGGCCCATTCTCAGTTCAGTTCCCTGGAAGCGTGGCTCGGGGACAACAGTGGGTGCAGCAGTCTTTGTTCTGGGCATGTGATATGCCCACCTATCCACCATACCTAGTCAGTGCTAGGCCTTGGCGTCCTTTCTTCCCTTGGTCTGGCAAAGACCTCCCTGCTGCCACCAGGTGGGGCATCTTGCCTAACTGGTCTGAATGACAGCAGAGGTGGGACTGGAAGCACCCACTGGGAGCAGTGGTGAAAAGCAGCCCCATTCAAGGGTTGAAAATGGTCTTTGCCCCAAACAAGGGGCAGACTTGACATGATCCCACCACAAAGGCAAAGGGAAGCAGCTGTTAGGATCTAAGGTTCAGTAAGCAGACAGGAGAGAGTGGAGATAGCCGTGGCCTAAACACATTTGTCATCACCCCAAACTTTATTGCTTACAAAGAGTTCTCTATGACCTGAACCGTGCAGTACCAAGGCTGCAGTTCTTCATGTGCTGGGGGCAGGGGTCTCTCCCTGGGGAGCGGGACACCTTTGCAAGACATGGAGATAAGCTTCTCCCAAGGAGGAATCTCAGGGGACATCCCCTAACCCCCAGGAGCTGAGGAGAGCAGGCCCCTTGACCCCCAGTGATTCACAGTTGATTAATGCTACATGACTCCTGATCAGCTTCCCCCAGAAGAGGCTGGGCTGGGGCAATGGGGAGGTTGGGGGGCGGGGTGCTCATCTTAAAGAAATCTGAAAGAGATTTAAGGGGTCACATGTGTGGAGACAGGTCAAGACTTGAGTCTCTTCATCTCCTAGTCCGCTTGTGTTCATGCAGAACCACTGACCTGCCCTTCTGCAGGGCAGCCATGAAAGTGCTTTGAGGTCATCAGAGTGCAAAGTGCATCTGGCAGTGCCCCTGTGACCAGGGGTAAGGCAGGGTCAGCGTGGGTGTGATTGATGCCTGAGCTGTGTCTCGGGAAGCTGGTGTGCAAGATGTTGAAAGCCGTGGCTCGGGTAACAGTAGCACCTATGTCTGCTGCCTTCTTTTGCATCTATCATGCCCCATCCTCAGACAGTTCCTGTCAGGTAGGTCTCATGTCATCCTTCACTTTTACAGGTGAGGGAACTGAGTGCCAGCTTAGTCAGGGGCAGTGCTGGGCCTGCAGTTGGGGCTTGGCGCCTGCTGTTCTGGGGAAGGCTGGTGGCCAGCAACAAAGGGACATGTGCTTGGGGACTGAGAACCATATCACTTAAACACCTTCTTTGGTCCTTGGCTGCAGCTAGTTCAGCGCAGGACCTGTGTGGCAACACCGGAAAGGTGTGCATTCTCCCCGGGGAGACTTAGTGTCAGGCGCTCCTTCCTCACTGACTTTGTCTGAAGAGCTCCCAGATCTAAAAGGGGGTTCGATGGCCAGACAAGACCAGGCAAGGGGATCTGAGGACCCCGTTAACCCAACGGTGGGCATATCTGCTGCCTGGTCCTGAACCGGATCTGGGTGTGGGTCCTTAGACACTAGACACCCTCACACTTGCCGGGAGACTGAGGGGCTCACGCACCCCTCCCTGACCCGGGCCGGAAGCTGCTCTCCCCTGACTGCCAGCAAGTGGTCTCTGATCTAAAGGGGTCAAGCCAGCTTGTTTGGACCAGGGCAGAGAAGACTCTCTCTGTCCCCCATGGGAAGAGCTTCCTGCCGTCCTTTTCCTCCTTATGTGGGCACAGCGTGTTCTCTTGATGGGTCAGGCAGGACACAGGTAGGAAATTCTGGGAGGCATTTTGCTGGCTCCCATTTTGCCCCTGGTCCCACTGTTGAGATCCCTGAGAGCGGGCTGAGCCTGTGTCTCGGCGACAGCATCGAGCACCAAGAAGGAAGGCTGCTTCTGGCTGAGTGGAGCCAATGGAGGAAGGCTGGGTTAGGGCCTGTTCTCCAGCTGGCCATGCTTGACCCTCCAGCTCCAGGCGAAGCTGCCATCTGGGGCCAGGGTGCACTGCAGGTCAATGCCCGAGTCTGGTACCTCCATGTCATAGCGTACAGGCTGCCCATCCTTGGTCACCAAGCTGAAGGCTGTGGCTGGGATCTGGGGCAGAAAAAAGCCAGTGGGACTGAGACAGTGGCCTGGTGCTCAGAAACTACCTAGCAGTGTGAAGCTGCCGCTCTTCTACAGCACTGGGAGATGCCTCCCTCCAGCCAAGCAGTCGGCCCTGAGGGCCCTATCGTCTGCCTTTTCTTCTGGACTCAGAGAATCTCACTTGGTCCAAAGGTGGGTCCTGAGGACCTCTCAGTCACTGCCACCAGTCTTGCCCTGAGACCCTGGGGGACATAAGGGCCAACCATTCTTTACGGTGCCATTTCTGTTTATTCAGAAGCCTTCCTCCTGGAGGGCTGGGGCACGTGCACTGGCTTCTGAGACTCTGCTCCTAAGCATGTACCTGCCCCCTTACCTGGCTGCTGATGCCAGTTGCAATGTCTCCCACCTTGACCCGGTGGAACTCTCGGATATGCAGGTGTTCGCCATTGAGAGACTGTATTTGGACTTTCACACCTAGGAGGCAAGCAAGGTGACTGTCAGGAGAGCAGCTGCCGGCTCCCTAAGGAGCCCTAAGTAGAAGGAAGCTGGTTGGATGTGAGGAAGCTGCAGAAATGATATTTCGTCTGGAGCGGCCATAAGGGTATAAAGCTGCTAGCTCTTCCTGGCCATTTTTGGTCAATAGCAGAATTTGGCCTGCACGAGGCAAAGAGCTAAGGTTGGCTCCTATGGGGAAGTAGTACTCCAGTGTGCATACAATGCAGAAAGGAACTGGAAACAAAGATTCTTAAATTAGACTGTGGTCAACTTAGATTGTAATGTTTCTTTGAGCTGGAGCAGACTCTGGCCAGGCTGCGGGGGCTTGATGCCATGAGTCACACTGGCCATGGGGAGGGCCAGGGAACTGTGAGCTGATGAAACCCTTATTCTATTGAAATCACAACATAACTTATGCAACCAAGCTTGAAAACTAAGTTCTATGTGTGTTGCCTTTCTCCAATTCTGACTTCAAATCCCAGAGGATCCCAGCCAACTTGTTGCTGAGTTCTTGATTTAAATGCTCATAGGAGTCTTGTTCTTTCTTTTTTCCCTTCAGAAGACATTCATTGCTGAGTTTCTTGACTCTAGGCCAGGACTCTCGACCCTTGACTTCTGAGATGCCATCAGCAGCCCATGAAGGGCAACGGTCCCTCTGCCTACTAGGAACGGCTCCTGGGCGATCAGGGCCTTTGCTCTAAACCGATTTAATGACCCGGTACTTCAAGTTCTGGGCACCAGTGCCTTCCTCTCCTTTCACCATGGGCCAGGGGAAGGGGGTCATAAACCTCTCGGGTTCTGCGGTCCCAGGTGGATCAGGTGCTAGGGGGCTGCTGAGCAGGTGGGTGTTGGACTGTACCGTTGAAATAGCTCGGAGTGTCGGTGGGCCGTGCCCGGGCCAGCACCATGTTCCAGCTGGAGCTGCGAGCCTCGGCCTGGCTGCTCCACGAGTGCACGCCGGAACTCAGGGTGTCCCGTGAGCTCTGCGAGGCCTTCGACGGGTTCTGGAACAACAAGGGTGGGAATGGACTTGGCCTTGAGCTCAGGGAACCATCTCTGGCCTCGGTCTGCTTTGGGGGCAAAGGGGCCCTGGGCCCTCCAGTGGGGCGAGGAGCCGCTCATGTGCTAGGCTGGCATATGGCTCTCCTGGGCACTTTCGGGGCTAAGCAGGGGGCTGAGCTCCTGGGCTGGAGGAGGGGGAGAAGGATTTCTATGGGGACCAAAGCCCAAGCCCCCTTCTCCACTATCCCAGTAGCTAGACCACTCTGATTCCCAAGTGTGCTGAAGATGGATTGTCTCACTCTGAGACACTAGGGCCCCCTGTTCCTGTGAGGACCCCTCCCAGCAGTAAGGGGTGACCCCTGTCACCCTCCCTTTTTTTTACCCACTACTTGCACACGGCCTATTCACCAGCTGCACACAAAGCTACCTGCTCTGTGCCCTGGCTACTGGTCCATGGCCAACTTACCTTTTCACTGTCATCTGACAGGGAGAGGCTGTCGACGCTGAGGCATGAGAGAATTTGCTCCTGTTCCTCCAGAGAAAATGGCTGGGAGAGGCTGTTCAGAAATAATTCTGTGGAGAAACGCAGACGATAGCTGTGAGACTAAGAGGGGTCCAGCTGTGTTGTCAGGGTTCTTCCTGCACAAACTGCAGGAGCTGACCTCTGGGGAAGGGGCTGGAAGAGAATCTACGCTGTCTGGAAAGAGGAGGAAGCCAGGCAGTGGTGGGGCCCAGGCCTGAGCCTGGGAACCCAGAGGCTGCAGTGCCCGTACCTATTTCTAGCTGCTGCAGTTCCTGCTCCGGGA